CCACATCCTGCTGTCACTACCTGAATTTAATTTGCTATTTATAGTGCTGCTATTTATCTCACCTGATCAGTGAAAAGCCCAGTGATTGGCAAAAATCCTTTGTCACAGTCTAGATTTTCTAAAATCTGAAAATACAGCCAGGAGGAGGCACAGATGTCCAGTTTCTTCACAGACCACATAAATTACAATATGCCAAAAACTGAATTTTTGCAGACTGATCCCAAAAAATACCAGGTTGCTCAGCTGTAATATACTTGTCTGGCCACACTAACTTTTCTCTTTAACTCTTACTCTCTCTCTCTTTTTTCTCCAGCAGCTAGCTACTTGTTCTTTCCCAAACTATGACCAGGCGTGGTGAACTTTAATTCATCATGAGTCATTAGAAATATGTAGATAGTTGAGGGGGAAAAAAAAATAAAAAATAAAAAATGGCAAAATTCCAGCAGCTGGGCTATTAAATACAACTGTAAAATAACAGAAAATAAGCATTAATGTGTGTTTTTTTATTTACAGTTAATGAACTATATTTACAGATGTAAAAACAATCAATTTTATTATAATTGTATGAAAAACAAATCTCGAAAAATGATCAAAATACTGTTGTAAAGCTGCAAGAATCTACTGATAATTTTAGATATCGGGTGTAATATATGTTTTTACAGTTAGGTTTACATAAAAATCTTGACTATTTCACACATACTTATTGTTTAGAAAAAAAGCAATTTTGTCCGCCTGTAAAATGTATGTATTTGTCTTGTTGCCTTTATTTAGAGCAGTAGAGACAGACAGGAAAGGGGAGAGAGGGAAGAGAAAAATGAGGAGAGACCTGCAGCAAAGGGATATGAGCAGGAGTTGAACCCACGACCACTGAGTCAGGGAACTATAGCCCAGCGTCGCCTGCTCAATTAGGTGAGTTGTAGGGGCACCCAGTATGCATTGCCCTTTGAAAAAATGTCATGTCACCTCAATTATAATAACAGTAATAGATTTTTAATCTGTATATTTAAATAACGTTATGTATATAAAATTAT